AGAAATGCAAAAAGTGAATAACCAACTTAACTAGCGGAGAGTGGGCAGGACCTTTAAAATTCTCAAGTTTGGGCTATCACATCTGGTATATTAAACCTGACACTGTCCCTGTAGTAAAGCCATTTCCTTTTAATCTTTCTTTAGAAAAAACAACAGAACAGCAAATTAAATGCAATCCTCTCCTCAGTTCTCAATTCCATGCTATTTCAGTGTTGACGAATCAGGTCATGTAATAATAAAATTCCTGCAGAAATATGATCCTAACTGTGTAACCTTCAATTGCAGTTATGCTGCTGTGTGCATTTAATACTGTACTTGACATTCCCCTTTTCCATTTTGCTTCTGGATGACATTAGGATCTGCAACAAGGACCTCCTTCAGCTCTCCCAGGTTACCATTTATTTTAAAGTATCCCCAAGGTCTCCAGCACCGTTTAGATCAAACTTGCAAAAGTCGCTGGTACTAGCGGTTTTTGCGGGTCCCTCGAGTTGTTTCTGAAAACAGGTTCCATTGTGTTCATATTATGCTTTTAGATTTTATGGCTCATTTTTAAATTACATGTTAATTTCTAAAAATGTTAAATTGCGAGGAAAAGTTGGCAAGGACCACACAAAATCACAGCACTGTTCTGCAGCTTGCGTGTGTCTCTCTATAGTACTTATGTGCATGGCTATACCCTTACATTTAAGTGCTCTGTATGAATGTGGGCCTGATCCTGCAGTGTGCTGAGAGTCCCATCAGAGGTGCTCAGTGTGCTGCAATAAACGACCCAGGATCATGCCTTATAAATCACAAACTTTGCAGTATCCAAATGAAAGAAAGAAAGGAAGGCGAGAGGAAAGAAAAAGGCAGTGGTAATGAAAACATCAGAAACAGAGCACACTCCTGAGTATAAACAACTAAAAATAGAGATCAAACATCTTCAAAAATCAACCAGTCATTCAAGAGGTTTTTTTAAAAGGCACCCTCCTTTCCAGGCCTGCAAGTCTTTAGTTTCCTCACTATTTTTATTTGTTCTGGCTTTTCTACTGCGCTAAGTAACATAAAGTAAAATCAATGAAAATCTGCCTACAGAAAAGTTAGAAAACTCCCTGTCCTGCCATTTCATCTCTCTTTCTCTCATTTTAATTTTTGCTTTCGTTCACCAAACGCAGCTCACCAGACAGCGATATCCCAGAAAGTTGGGATTTTTCATTTCCTTGTGCTGTAACGACGCAGAACATTTTGTTCCCGCAGGTGACTGACGATAGGGTACTCGCAGAGCACCGCAGCATGATTACAGAAAAAGTCAGCATTTTAGTGATCCGTAAACCCAAGACTGACGTTGCCGCTTTAGATTTACGTCCAGCCTCACTAGAAGCATTATTAGATCTTTTCCTTACAGATTTCTGGAGTGCTTGTTGCAGTCAGGCTGTTGTTTCTGCATGCGCTTGTACAACAAACACAGATAGGCAGGTCTGGTTTTAGTTATTCCTGTCACACAGAGAACCTGCTGTGAATGACAGCATGCCAAGGAGTTAATGAAAACTTGTTCTCCAACATGGATTTTTAACTAAACAAAAATACTGAACCAAGCCTTTCGGTGGTCAGTTTAAGACACATATTTGACCAATTATATATATTTATATATTATACCTGCGCTAGGATTAATCGGAACTGAAATTTTCAGCCTTAAGTGAACACATTCGCGTATGTCACGTTATATACATAAGCATATCAACTTACGACAGAAACGCTTACATATGTGACATATCCGAGTAGGGCTGCACTCTCTCCCGGCTGCTGCATCCTCCCCACGTCAGCCTCCCGCACTGCCTCCCGCGGCAGCTCCCCGGCTCCCGCGCCGCGTAGCCGGAGCGGGACGGAGCAGCGTGGGCACCGTACCCACGAGAGACCTGGGATCGGGGTTTGCCGCTCCCACCCCAGCATTAAAGCTGCTTCTGAAAAGCTCGCGACAATCGTGCCGGGGTACGAAGTGAGGCCACTCTCCTGACAGTGGGTTATATAGCCTGTCCTTGATCTTCACATGGGATTTCCCAGTTGCCTGAAGCTAGAGCAGCATATGGTCCCGTGTTTATAAGCATGTTAATGACTGAAATGGGAAACTGTACAACCCGTTTTCCTTATAAACTTTAAACTGCAATTTCTTGTTTTTGTCATTGGACGCTGTGCTCGTGCCCTGTTAATTCGGCACAGGCTGTTGAGACGCACGTGGCCACACTGACCCCAGGAATTCTGCAAGCAGTGTCGCTCTGGACACACTGAGGTACCTGAAATCAGGGTCTGGCCCATAACATGAACCAGACGTGGTGAGTAAGCTTTTTACTCACGATCTGCTACAAAAAGTTGCTTTCCCAGGGAAGTACCATAAAGAATTTGCTTCAACACCGATGACTGCCTGCTCTGAGGAGCACAGCAGCTTTGCCAAACGTCTCTCAAAAACAAAATGTCAATCAGTTTTCCCTCTGTGCTTTTTGAAATACTATTCAAGATGTCTTCATAAACTAAAACATCTAGTAGGGACTTCGCAATTCTGCTTCGACCCTTTTGTGTTAAAAATTAGCTACTTCACTTAAAAAATTGCAGTGAGGAGCTCTTCGCAAGCAGTGATATCTCACTTAAAAATACAGTTGCTGCTTTGAGGAAGGTATAAGTGGTACAGTCAGACATACCCTGATATTTTGCTTATCCAAAACAGATTGCAGCTATTTTTGAGAACAGAGACACAGGTCTGCTACACAACTGCACTGAGAACTGCCATCTCAGGTATTCAAATTACAGAGAAAAGATATTAAAAAATAAAATGTCCTTATTTATCTCTTTCTATCTAACAATCATTTGGATAATTTCGTCTATTTGTAAACAGATTTCATGAATGGATGATAACTCAAAAATATCTGCTTTGTTCATGAAGGGCTCATTTTCTGCATGTTATAACATCATCAGAAAATCATTAGCAGGACTGTAATATTGTAGCTGAAAAAAGCCTATTTTTACCTGTTTTTTCCTGATTGTGCACAGATATATGGGAAGGATATAACAAATAATACAGTGTGTGCAGATGTTTTTCTTCTATCAGCAGGCTACTGCTTGTCTGCTTTGGAAGTCTAAAAAGAATAAACCTAGCTACTGGTCTCATCAAAGGCCACAGCACTTTAAAATGTTAACAAAGATATTTAAGAACTGACTTAACTACAGTCTCAAGATGAGTTTCAGGAATGTTAGTTATGAACTTTTAGGACAAATATACTGGGTTTTAGTCATTCCAGCCCAGTCTGTGAACCCACACAGTTACTGTGTGCCTGTCTCAGCCTTCTCACTAAAGACTGTATTTTTCAGTGCAGTTTGAAACTTGGCAAGAAGAACTTAATGCAGTAGCAAATTTATTACAATTTTTAAAAAGTCATTGGGTCCATTTTTAAGTTATGGTATAAAAGCACAGAAAAACAGAAGTTTACATATCTGAGCTGCTGCATCTGTTCTTGAGTAACTTTTCACTTAAAAATAAAACTTGGCAGACAATACGCCCATAATGCGGACCAAATGCATTCGGTATGTTGGGGGAAAAAAAAAAAAAAAGCTAAATGAACAGAGAGAGTTAATTTTGAAACTTACTCATTGTGCGTGCACTATTCATGCTCCCCATGAGATCCCGTTTCTCTAGGGGACCCCCACTCCCACCTTGGTCATCCCCTGACAACCTGCATGCACCAAAGTCCTCCTACCCCCACCAGAGCACACAGCCTCCTGAAACCCTTGTGGCTCCATCACATGAAACGGGCCAGGAAAGCGAGGGAAAAGGCTGCAAACGTGAGAGGTGGCAAAGGCGAGGGGCACCCAAACCTGCCTGCCAGGGAAGACAAGGGCAACCAAGTGCAACATCTAAATCTGTATTAACTTCAGTGCGAAGCCCTCCAGTACTTGTCATCAATTTCCATTCATCCATCCCAAAAGCGGTGTTGCCCGCAGGGTGCTCCCTGACAGAATAACCCCCCGAGAAAGGCCCTGGGACAACGTGAAGGGCCACTGCAATGGGTGGAAACCTGAGACGCTGGCAGAGTCCTCCAGAGCTTGGGATGCAAGACTTGATTTTTTTCACAGACAAAGGGACAGCCTTTGTCTTATGTCCCCAAAGAAATACAGAACAAGCTTCACAAGAGGAGCCTTCCAGCACTCCGTGCCCCACAGGGACCTGAGCAGGTCCTGATCTTCCCCTGATTTACAGCAGTTTACTGGCATGAACCAGGCAGTCCCATGTGCCGCCTTCTGACACAGCAGATGATATAAATCATGCTTTTATATTTTTATTGATAAGATTAAAATAATAAATTCTGTGTAACCCTTCAAAAAAACATCAAGCCAAGATATTTACTGGCCAAGTCTGTGGCCCCTTAGTTCAGTGCACTGTGCCTGCAGAGTGATGCAGAAATTGGTCTAAACTAATTCATGCATTGCTAAGAGATGCACGAGCACCAAAGGGCCACACACCGGAGAAGGCTCTGTGAGGACAGAAAAGATGCTGTACAACAGGGGAAGATGTGCACGTGCCCTCCATTGGGGGGCATACAGCTCATGCAAGTGCCACAAACAGCCACCTTGAAATTTCAAAGCCCTCCTCTTCCTTCCAGCTGGAGCCACGGAGTACTTCAGCCCTCTAGTCCTCCCTTGCTGTAACAGAATGCTTAAGAGTTTTCTCCTTCTTAAGGTGTCTTAGTGCTGACAAAACTGGCCTGTAAGCGTCATTTCAAAAATCAGTCCCATAGCTCCATTCAGAAAGCAAAGCAGCTTCATTAGTGGTCAGTAAAAGCATTTAACTTCAATACTGCTGACAGAAGTTCTCCAGTGAATGAAAGGTTGGACAGGAGTGATCCACTCTCATACCAGAGGGTGGACAGGAGTTATCCACGCTCATAAAAGGCACCATCAGGTGACACTCATTCCAGATGACACCATCCACCAAAGTTGGCTGTATTAGAAATGATGCAGAAAGAATCCCTTACCTGTCCGGTAGACAAAATTGCCTTCTGTCTCTGATGACGACGGAGACACCAATTCCTCCTCAAATTCATTGGAACTAAATGAACCAGAGTGATTCCTTTGCCTTGTTTTTTCCATCATAGCCGCATTAGTAGCCATGACATGTCTCAAGGAGTCATTTAGGTAACGATTCAATAAGCTGCTTTTGTATTTGGGGGGCGACACGTAATCCTCATTGGCACTTGTTTCTGGTCTCACTCCTGTTTTTATTACTGAACTTTCAGTTTTAATCACAGTGTGATGAACCGGTTTGTTATATCCCCCTTCATTCATATGGTTTCTTGGAGGATTTTCTCCATCTGAAAAGAAAGGAGGAAAGACACAGTAATGCATCAAATACCTAATATTTAACAAGAGGCTTTCTCTACATGTTTTAAATTGCTATAAATATAACTAAAAGTAGACAAAGAATTTTAGAGTTCAGCATTAGAAAGTGATTTTCATTTTCTTCTGTTCACACATTGCTCACAGTAGTTTCCAGTGTTCTCACATGCTCCAGCTATTCCAAATTAACTAACTACAGAAAACAGTGCCTTGGTCTAATTTGTTCATGAGCAACATAAGGCAGGTAGAAAAAAAAACTGGTAAGTGCCCTAAATCAATGAAAAAAATTTCAAAATCTGGGTGAATAAACTGATTTCTTACTAGCATAACTTGAAACTTGCTTCTTCTGAGTACTATGACATATTTAAATGTATTTGCTTACACTGTACTCTTTCAATTGTCCTGCAACAAATCTTTTAAAGGGAAGTGCAAACCAAACAAATGTGAGTGCAAACTGAAATTGGAACAAAGAGATTTGAAACTGAATACAAATTGAAACATATTCTTCTAAAAATTCACCTACACATTTCTGACAATGTTCTGCAGTATTTGTTCCTGTCAGTGTATCTCCATGTCACAACCGACTGAAAAAGGCACTCACAGACATAATTAATACAACTTTTATATTAAAAATACAATGTGCTATTTAAAAAAATCCTACATTTGTTAATTTGGATAAGAAAGAGAATTTCAGTGCACCTTTTAAGGAAAAGGTTTGCTGGTAAAATATATAAAATAAATACAGTAATAGTTTACCACATAATAAGCCCCACTGAAGTTAATCAGATTAAATCAGATTCTCTTGTTAATCAGATTCTCTTGTCAATGATGTGATATTGCTATAGACCTTCCATCAAGCAAAGTAACAGTTGAGAGATTTCTCTTCTCCTTAAACCAACAAACGCAATCAATTTTTCCTTTTAATGCAGATTAAAGCAACAGTCTTGAAGAATCTAATGCAAAAACAATTCATTCTTTCTAGTAAAAATGCTCTACGGAACAGGCATATAACATGCAACCACACTGTCACCCCGATTAACCTACACAATCCCACTTTGCACAGCTGCATGGTAGCTGAGGGCCAAAAATGGCACTTAATTCACAAAAAATAAAGGCAGATCCACTGAGGGCATTTTGTGAGAAACCAGAGCTAACTTAGGGTATCTGATACTTTCTAAACCTATTTTAATCAGTTCAAAATTGATAAAAAGAGCATCAACAAACCTTCAGAGCATGAGTCATCGCTGCTCACGCTGAGTCGTTCAGCATTTCCTTGAACATATTTGTTGTACAGTTTTATTCGTAAAGCCCAGCTAAGATCTGGTTGCCTGACAGTGTTCTTCAGGCGACGTCTTGCATTGGCAAACCAGTTTGACACCTGCAGGAAAATGAATGTATTAGTTTCTCTTGGGAAAAAAAAAAAGCAAATAAACAAACCTAACCCACAGATTTTCCATAAGTTTTATGTGTGCCCTAAGAAAATGGCAAACAACATGAACAGAAGTCAGTGAAACTATCACTGAGCAGAGCAGGAACCTCAGACAGATTCATGCTTTCCACCCTTCTCAAGTGTTAGCAAACCATCATTATTAACAAGGTTTTAATTAAGGTGTCCCAAAATACTCATTTTATCTTCATCTTTTTTTTTTTTTTAAACTTTCAATACAAACCTTTGATATATTACTAACATCCTAAATTAAAACAAATAGCTAATGTTCGGTAATTTGCCTCTGACATTTATGTAGGCTACAATAAGGCTGTTGAACAGAAAAACCCATTCTGAATTTGGTTACATCAAAACCCAAATCCTCCCTCGCACTGCACCTTATCAGTAGTCTGACAGCTGGTGGGTATCAGGAAAGTCCTGCACAGAATACAACCTGCTTTGAGTCACTGCGGAAATCAACTATTGGCTCTACAGAGCAGCAGCTTTTATGAACTCTTTCTCTTACAGAAACCCTGAAAAGCAGTGAGGATGCAGATCCCTCACACAGTGACTACTAAACAAGAGACTGGCTTGTCTTCTTTCTCAGCTGCACAGCATTTTCTAGTGTTTGATGCTGCAAAATAGATACATGTTAGTATCCTTCTACCATACAGGGTCACCACAAAGGCTCAAGCACAAGGATTTCACACTGCTTAAGGTCCAAAAAGAGCAAAAGGGCATGGTATAGTCTTCTGTGCCAGCAGTGCTGATCAAACTGTCAAATGGGATGTGTGTACTTGCAGTGACTTTGCATGAAAGCATACCTGAGAAAATGCTGGCCTTGATTCCTCCGTACACTAAAATACATAAAATTGGAAATACTGATACTGACAGAGTGACCTCACCATAACCTTACTACGAGCAAAAGCAGAGGCAAGCTACCTTACACTCTAACAATATTTATTTAACGATAAATCAGGTCTTAAAAACGCTGTTTACTCCTCGCAGGAATAAGTGTATTTTGACATGACCTCTGCAGGAAGGAGGCAGAGTAGCATTACTCGCAAAGGAGAATGTAAAGAATGTCGAGAGAGTCTACAGCCCTGCTCACATCTTTGTGTTGTGAAAGTGCACACAGAGGAAGCCGAGATGACTACTGCAGTTGTATTCTGACCTGGGAATGATCATACCATTGCACTTATGTTAACTTGTAAAGCAAGTAAAGCAAGTTTTATCAACACATGCTACCCTACCTACTAGAGAGCCAAATTGCAGACATCAGTGTTGGATTTTGGCCCTAGTTTTGTCATCTGTCTGTTGTAGCTAATGTTGTATAAATCACACAGAAGCATTTGGCTAATTATTCTGGATTGATAATCTGTTCTAGGGTGATTACGAGAAAAACAAACACTATCTGCTTAAACGAAAAACAAAACTTCAGTTCAGAGTCGCACCCAGAACTTAGCAGTGGTGCCTTAAGCCTGTCACTTTGATTTTACTTAAAATCACGTTTACATGAAACAGGGTTCCACTAAAAATAGAGTGAGCCCTGGATCAGCGCTCAGATGCCAAACACATAACTTTACAAACCATGTAGTTTACTATGACAGGTTAGAAGACCAAAACTGTAGCTGGCAGAGAAGAGTAAGTAATTTTCATTCTCTTCCAAGGCTACTTGTTTATATTCACCATATTGACACAGCAATCATTACAGTAAACCAGAAAGGGTGGGCTGGAATCCATCCACTTTCTAATGCTCTTAACAAACTCACTCCAGACTGCTCAGCTGAAGCAGCAGTCACCTGGCTGCTGCTTGATTTAGTATAAATCTGAAATCAAGTATGTAACGAGAGATGGATCAAGCCAGGGTCCCACTGAATATTACAGCAATTACTGCAGCATCTTACAAAACTGACAGCTTTCCAACATCTCACTAGAAAGAGGTTCATTATGCTCCATTTTATTACATATTGAAATACTTCATCAGTGAAGTGCCATGTACAGAGGAGAAAGATAGGGTAGTATTAGTGTGACTCATACATAAAAGCAATTAAATTTAGCAGGAGTGATTTTTGCATGGTACTCTTGGTTTATTTTGGGCTCATTCTTCCCATGCCAGCACTTTGCTTTCTGCATATCAATATGAAAAGATGAGTCATATCTTAAGTCTTCTGCTATGAGAGGGGGAAATCGTAGTATTTGATCATTATGAAAGAACCTGAAGTCAGCATTTACAAGAGGAGCTTTCAGCTAAAGCACCAAGCAGCAAACACTCCAGAAACTCTTATCCCACATGCAATTACAACAAGGCCTGTTAAAGCTGAAGGGAAGTAAGGCAAACCCACTTAAGAGATTTTTAGGCTAGATCTACGGTGTGGTATCTTGGGATGCTTTCCTGCTCTTGGGCACTGCTGTATGTTGCTGGAAAACCCTGATCTCTGACATCAAGAGATTCAACATCTCTCCCACTCTTCAGTCCTGGACCACCTCCAGGTGTGGGGACTGGAAGAGGCTGCGTGGCCACAGGCTGTACCAGCCAGCACGCTCACCCCAAACTCCACCCACCGCCTGGGTTATTACAGGCTGTTCCTGGCTCCTTCAAAGCCAAGGACAGTTTTGTCATTCATTTCAACCAGCCCCAAATGTGGTCTTTAAAAAGTTGCATGCCTACTGCTGTGGGTCCCACTCACGCGACAAGTGCCTGTTTGCGCCACACTTACTTAAGCTACTACAAAAAAGAAACAACCAAACCTGCCAGAAGCCAGCCACCCTTTACCATGGTCCCAAGTTACACTACTCTGACCTCCAAAAATAATAAAAAAAAAACCCAACCCCCATTGAGAAAACTTTGTCTCAGAAACCTCACAAAGAATGAAGTATCTTGAGAAAAAACGCATGATGGAAGTCACCATTCTTGTAAAGTAACAATCATGTAGTTCTCCAGGAAGGAAAAAGACCAAAACTCAAGGAGAACGATAATAGATGTGCTTTCCAGCACTCGTATTTTACAGCAGCTCAGTCATTCCCAAAGAGCATCAGGTACTTATATCAGCATCATGAAATATTGACCCTCTGGCTTTACTTCTGAAGAGACTCTTCAATTTTATTGTAATTTGTTCTGCTTCACTGCTTAAGAATGGCCAAAGTTTCAGAAAGGGAACAGAAATCAAGCGATTCTCCTCCTCCAGTAATCCAGATATGCCTTTATGAATCTGAATAATATTAAATCCATAGCAGCACATGACCAATATATTAATCCTAGTATTGCACAAAACGCCTCTTCAAGAATACAGCCATTCATATTTCTTTCTGGAAGGAATATACAGCCATTTTTCTTTTTTATTTCACAAGAACATCTAACCCAAAATTTAAAATAAAATAAATCAAGCACTGTGGTAATAATACAAACGAAAATGTAGCACATTAATAGGACAAATTATTGGATTCTGAATTGGAATCTAATTGGAGTAAAACATAAAATGCCTCTTCAAACTATATTGCTTTTTTGGTTTCCTGCTTTGGCAGTTGGGGAAGTAGAAAACTTTGGACTGTTGGACTGAAAGCTGCAATAACATTTGCCTTGAGGACTCCCGAAGACCTTGTTGGCCTGATCAGGAATAAGTCAGCCCAGAATTTGCCCCAGGTTTTGCTACTGCTTATTAAGAAACAAGACGATTTATGATTCCTGCAAAATCCTACCTCCTTAAAAGAGTTTGACTTGCCTTCTGCAGTACTGTGGGACACGCAGGTGAACTGCCCCCTTGCTGCCACACTGCGCCCAGGAACAGGGGGTTAAGCCAAAGTAACAGTGAGGTGGAATAAATGAATTTAAAATCAGCCAACTGGATGATAGCAAAACTAATGAAAATAAAATTATGTACGATCTCACATGCAGATACTGTCCTAATAATAACAGTAGAAAAGAGGGCTGGATGTTCACCTCCTTGTCTCACAGAAGGATCGGCTTTATACATGCCAGAGTCGTGCAAAAGCTCCGTTAAATAGATGGTACAGACTGGAATAAGGTTCATTAGATGAAAGAAAGCACGTGGAGAAAAATTACAGCTATATTATCAATATTATTGTGACCAACATCATCTTCCAGGCAGCCGCTAAAGATCTTTTCCAAGGTCGGCAGTGAGGTGAAAGACAAAAAACTCAACCATTCATTCCCTAAACAGCATTTTGGTGAAAAATCAAAGGCATTTTCAACAGTATCTTTTGTCTTCCCAAGGGCTTCCAATGGCAAGGCGTCAGCACACGAGGGATGCTGGGACGAGGTAATAGCTGTCAGCAGACAACAGCCTCCACAGGAGTGGAAAGCTGTGAGCGCAAGTGTACGTTCCCACCAAGAGCAAACACTGCGGGACGGCACCAAGAAATGGAAGAAGAGTAGGATATATAAGACAGGTCAGTGAACGTGAGGGCATGAAACCCAGAAAAAGCATCGTACACCGATTCCTGGTTCTCCAACGATGTCTGGTGTTACTAGATTAGAAAAGCAATCACAAGAGCCCCTGGTTGATGCTTTTGCAAAGTGCCCCTCTGGGACAGAAGCAAAGCTTTCCAGCAGGTACCGAAGCCCAGTCCCGAGCCTGCTCTTGGTTATAGCACTCAGCTGAAAGAGCACAGCCTTCGGGGAAGCTATTTCAGATGTACCCAGCGTGACTGAGATCACAGCCTGGCGCTTTCTCTCTCTCTCTCAGAGAACAAGAATTTTGATCTGGATTACAGTCTTGTTCTTTCTGGGCATCTGAAAAGTAGATGTGGGGCGTGCGTTGTTTTGTTCTTCCAGGCTGAGGAATTACTGCTGCTGCCAGACATATGTATTTACCTCTCGTACAGATGCTATCGTATTCCTGGATTAAAAGAGCATTGCACCCAAATGATGGCAGAAACATCTGGGGTTTCTTTTTGATGGTGTGCTTCTATAAGTGGAGATAGATGTGCTG